ACTTGCAGAACCATTTAAATTACAGCAGATAGGTCAGCCAAATTCATCCTTGGGAGACTTTCGTTGCTGACCAGTTCAGATGGGTTTCCAAAGATCAGTGTCCCCGGGAGATGCATATATTTCCCAATTTCTCCCTACAGGTGAAACCAAAACTAGGTGCCCCTCTAATACCTGCTTTCCACACTTTTCACTCCTTACTTGGTTGCAAGTGGGATAGAATGGTCTTGCCTGGAACCTTTGATAAGCCAGGGGGTGGGGTGTGTCCTATCTGCAAGATTATGTGATTAAGGATGCTCCTGGATATGGCAAGAAAATGCTTTCCAGAACAGAGCAGCATGAAAGATCTTCCCAGTGTCTGGGGTGATACAGTTTCAGAGAAATGTCATTTCCCACTATGTAATAGGATTTTTTTCATCTTCTGGATCAACACTAAGTGTGTTATTAAGTAAATGAAGTTCTTGGTAATGTGACTAGCTGTTGAATACTTGCTTGTGAAAATTTTTTCTGATTAGAAAAAGAATACTTGTTTATTTTAAAAATGTTGACAAAATAAAAGAAAATCACAATCACCTCAAATCACATATTCTAGAAATAACCACCATTAATACTACAGATTGAATATATTTTATCTGAAATGCTTAGAACCAGCAGTGTTTCAGATTTTGGATTTTGGGGATTTTGGAATATTTGCATTGTGCTCACCAGTGAGCATTCTTAAACTAAAATTCCCAAATCCCAAATGTTCCAATATGCATTTATTTTGAGTTTTAGATTTTGGGTTTCAGATTTTTGGTCAACCTGTGTGGCATATTTTGCTCAACCTGTATGGCATATTTCCTTCCAATTATATATACAACATATAATACAACATATACACACATGCATACTTAGAATCTTAAGGCACAGGGAAAGAGCAGGCATTCTTGCTGCTGTCTTGTCTGTTGTTGCCTTCACAACATGCCTTCCCTTTAATAAAGCTACCTTTCTTTTTTTTTTTTTTAGTTGGAGTCTCACTCCAACTGCCCAGACTGAAGGGCAGTGGCCGCTCCCGGCCACCGCAGCCTCGACCTGCTGGGCTCCGGCTATCCTTCCGCCTCAGCCTTCCAGGTAGCTGGAACTACAGGCACCCGCTACCACGCCCGGCTAATTTTTTTTTTATTTATTGTAGAGATGAGGTCTCGCTGCCTTTCTTAATTAAAAAAAAAACAGAGTCTGAAAATAGTTGGAGGAAAAGCAGGAAGAAAGGAAAGAAAAGGCCTACCTGGCTTTTAGATTTTTGTAAGTCAGAGCTATGGGATGAGTGCTTCTCAGTGTTGCCCATTTGCCTGATCAGTCTCGCTAACCAGCTCCACCACCGCTCCCCATTAATGCTCAGAGTTCTAATCGTGGTGAACAGAATCAGGAGGGCCCTGCTGACTGCTGTTCCTTGTCTTTGAGACTGGGGCAGTTGTGGATTCAGCTTAACCCAAAAGGAATTAAGTGAAAAAAATGAGATCCTTGCGCCATTGCAAGGCCATTGTAACTGTTGCTTTGCTAAGCTATGGTGTGGCCATGTGCTCTTTGAGCGAAGGCCAGGCCATGTTTCTTAAGCTTTGGTCCCCTCCCCTTCCTTGGGGAGGTGAATCTCCTCTGTCTTTCTCTCCCTAATTTACTTTCTAAATCAACTATATTTTCTAATCTGAAAAAAAAAAAAATGAGGCTCCAAGCAACAGAGGATTTCCTTTTTTATACTTTTATGCCTGCCTTCTTTAGTAAAAGACTTTTGTAGTATTGAGATATGTGTTAGGGAAAGATGTTTCTGGCAAAATTTATTTTCTTTAAAACCAGTGTTTAAGAAATGTGGGCAACTCCCCCACCTTAGTCTCCATCCAGATGAAATAGACCCCATGTTTGCTGTAGACTCATAGTATCTGAGAACCAGAAAAGGCTGAAGAGATCATCTCATATATTGGTTTTCAAAATTTGTTTTTAGCAAAGAATTCTTTTTTATATGACTCCTTAAGCAGCATCTTGATATATGACAGTCAGAACTTATTTATTTTTGGTAAAGCAGGACTGGAACCTGTGGTCTGGACTTACAGCATCCTGCTCACACATTCATTCAAGGCAGCCCTAAGATGCCAAGATGGACCCTTAAACTTCTGAGAAACATGGTTTAAAAATTATGAGTCTAAGGGCCAGGCACTGTGACTCATACCTGTAATCCTAGCACTTTAGGAGGTCAAGGCAGGAGGATCACTTGAGGCCAGGTATTCAAGACCAGCCTGGGCAAGATAGTGAGACTCCATTTATACAAAAAAGTAAAATAATTAGCCAGTGCTTCTCAGTCTTGCCCATTTGCCTGATCAGTCTTGATGGCCTGTTCCATCATTATACCCTGTTGCACGCCTATAGTCCCAGCTACTTGGGAGACTGAGGTAGGATTGCTTGAACCCAGGAGTATGAGGCTGCAGTGAGCTATAATCATGCCACTGCACTTCCAGCCTTGGTAAACCCTGTCTAAAAAAATATCTTATGAATCTGACCCTGAGTTTTATGTGAAAACTGAGATCTATAAATAACCAGTAGTGAATAAAAATGAGGGGAACAAAACCCAGGACCTGCTGAGGCTGGTGCTTTCTCAACTTTTTCACACCCCTGAGATATTCCTCTTGGGGGCCAGGAGACCCTTCCCTGGTGATCACCTGCATGGGTTATACTGAGCAAGAGGGCAGTCATACTCACATGACCATCCCTTTATGTAGCAAAATTTTGCTACTCTTTGTAATGAGATATTTGACAGAGAATACTGGTCTCTTTCAACAGGTGTTTCAGTATGTATGCATTTTTTTTTTTTTGAGTCAGGGTCTCACTCTGTTGTCCAGGCTGTGCAGTGGCTTGATTATGGTTCAATGCAACCTTGACATCCTGGGCTCAGGTGATCCTTCTGCCTCAGCCTCTTGAGTACCTGAGACTACAGGTGCACACCACCATGCCCAACTGATTTTTTTTTTAAATACTAGAAACAGGGTTGCCCAGGCTGATCTTGAACTCATAATCTCAAGCAATCTGCCCAGCAAAGCTCTGGAATTACAGGTGTGAGCCAACACATTCAGCAGTAAGTATGCATAACGTAAAGGCATTGTCTTTTTCCCCTCTCATCACAAGCAGAATATCTCAGAAGTATATCCTTGCCGGTACCCGTCCTGGTGGAGGACACCAGCAGCAGCAGTGAGTATGGCTCAGTGTCACCCGACACGGAGTTGAAGGTGGACCCCTTCTCTTTCAAAGCAAGAGCCAAATCCTGCGGAGAAAGAGACGTCAAAGGAATTCGGACACTCTTTTTGGGGTAAAGACCTGACTTTTGGAGGGTAAGGTATGTTGTTAAGCATGTCACTTTATAAAGGAAATCCTGCATGAATTATTTCAGCATTCCAGATGAGAATTTTGAAGACCACAGTGCTCCCCCTTCTCCGGAAGAAAAAGATTCTGGATTCTTTCTGCTGAGGAAGGACAGCGAGAGGCGAGCCACCCTTCACAGGATCCTGACAGAAGACCAAGACAAAGTTGTGAGAAACCTGATGGAATCTTTAGCTCAGGTAAAACTTCTCTCAGGCACTTCAGTTCCCAAAGTTTTCATATTTTCAATGTGTCCTGACACCTGGAGCTGTAGCATACGACATGAAGACGAGGGAAGCTGCAGTGTTCATGGTGGTAAAATACATTATAGATTATAGTTAGAGCTTATTTAAGTAAAACAGGGTCGGGACCTGTGGTCTAGGCTCACAGCAAACCACACATGCATCCCATCCAAGGCAGCCCTAAGGTGGACTCTTAGGCCTCTGAGGAACATGGTTTACACATTATGAAGCTAAAGGCCAGGCGCAGTGGCTCATGTCTGACATCCCAGCACTTTCAGAGGTCAAGGTAGGATTGCTGAAGACCAGCCTAAGCAACATAGCGTGACCTCATCTCTACAAAATATACACCTACCCCAGGGCGGAAGAAAGCAGATCCCTAATGCAGAAACTGTGTTTTCTAATATAAGCTATGCTTAAGTCAGAGCATAGTTTTCACATTGGTGAGCTTCCAACTAGTCCCTAGAAGCCTCTTTTACCCTTGATGCCTTTATTCATTCAATCGAGAGACACCCATGGAGCCACATGAATTGCTGATTCTAACATCAGCCTGAGGCTCCCTGCCACTCTGGGCATTTGGGGAACATCAGCAAATATAGCCAAACGCCTGAGCTTGTGAGGCCACATTTAGATGGAGGGTGACAGGCAATGATGAGTAAATGACAGTAATTCCTCACTTAACATGGTCGGTAGGTCTCACAAGCTTTAAGTGAAATGACACATAACCAAACCAATTTGACCACAGACTAATTGATACAAGCAAGGGTTAATTTCCTACAGCATAGTTCTGGTCACAGCAATATCACCAAACTTCCAAAGATAGGCCAAAACTCCTCTAATGTTAAACACTGAAATAAATGTGAATTCTACATACGTTTAACAAAGATGAATAAAAACATGTAAGATAATTATTTTCCCAAGGATTCCAGTTAAGGGTCTCAGGTGGCCAGAGCCTATCCCAGCCACTCAGGGCGAAAGGTGGGAACCAACCTTGGACAAGACTCTGTCCCACTCACACCCATACCCACACTTACTCAAACTGCAACCATGTAGACATACCAGTTTACCGAAGTGTGCATGTTTGGGATATGAGAGGACAGCAGAGGATCCAGAGGAAACCCACATAGACATGGGGAGCATGTGCACACTTATCACAGTGGCTCCAGCCAGGATTTGTTCTTTTCCCATCAACACTATAACAAAATGACATTGAACAAAGCAACATGAGTCAAGGACCCGCTCTGTATAGTATATTAGAAGGCCATATGTGCTCTGAAAAAAACAAAGCTTGTCAGCAAACTATTATCTCCTGGTGTATCTGTTTGCTAGGTCTGTGTCTTGGTGCATTTTCTGATGTATAACAGAATACCCGAGACCTGGTACTTGGAAAGAAAAGAGGTTTATTTAGGCTCACAGTTCTGAAAGCTGAGAAGTCACAGGTCAGGTGAGGGCCTCATGCTCCTTCAACTCGTGGCTGAAAGCAAATGGAAAAGTAGGCTCGTGTAGAAAGAGAGAGGGACAGAGGGACCCGACGTGCTTTATCACAACCCACTCTCTTGAGAACTAACCTGGTCTCAGGAGAACGGCATCAATTCATTCAAGAGTGCAGAAGGACATGCCTCTCGAAGGCTCCGCCACCTTCAATACCTTTATATTAGCAGTTAAATTCCAGCATGAGTTTCTGCAGGACAAAAAATTAAGCCATAGCAGTCTGCCATAACAAGATACCACAGACTGGGTGACTTAAACAACAGAAGTTTATCTTTCACAGTTCTGGAGGCTAGAAGTCCAAGGTCAAGGTGTTGGCAGGTTTGGCTTCTTTCCTTGGCTTGCAGATGGTCACCTTCTCGCTGTGTCTTCTCATGGTCTCTTTTCTGTGCACTTGTGCCCCTGGCATCTCTGCCTCTTCTTGTATGGACACCAGAGGATGCCAGTCCAATTGGATTAGGGTCCCACCCTTACGACCTCACTTAACCTTAATTATCCCCTTAAATACGGTCCCATTGGGAATTAGGGCTTCAACATACGAATTTGGAGGACACAATACCTTAATACCTGGGTAAACGTGTTCCCTAGGATTCTGCTTACAGATAGGAGGAAAAATCCCCTCCCCAAGTCTGTACCTGTAGAAATAGGGTTTCCCTCAGCTCCAAGCTTCTTGTGAATAAAATGCTCCCACAGACATGCTCAGTCCCAGACATGATATTTGTCATCCTCTTTTAGTTCTGGGAGTGTCAGGGCCTCAGCATCCTGCTTCCCCACCCATGGCCACCACCTCTCCTTCATGGTCATTGTGGTCTACATAGCTTCTTCCTTTCCTCTCTCATGGGGAAATGGCTGCAAAGGAATGGAGTTGGAGGGCTCGGACCAAGTTTTTGAAGTCTCTCAGTCTGACACTTTGCCTGCTCTAATCTTGAGATGTAAATGGGGGAGTACTTTTTCTTCCTGTTTTTGTCATAAGAACCTCACTCTGCTTCTCAATTCCCTAATGCCCACCTCTTTTTGTTGTTGTTGTTGTTGCCCAGGCACGCTCACAGCCACTGCAGTCTCAACCTGCTGGGCTCAGTCCTCAGTCTTCCAAGTAGCTGGAACCACAGGCACGCACCACCACACCTGGCTAATTTTTTTATTTATTGTGGAGATGAAGTCTCGCCGTGTTGCCCAGACTGGTCTCGAACCCATGGGCTCAGGCAGTCCTCTTGCCTCAGTCTCCCAAAGTACTGGAATTACAGACGTGAGCCACTGTTTCTGGCTTAATGCCCACCTCTTTAGATCTTATAGGAGGAGCTGAAAGTCCATATGTGTCTCTTTGTACCCAGTAGGGACTCTGGGTACAAGGAAAACTGAAATGAGCCTTGTCTGCAATCTGAAAAAATCCTGACTTGGGCAGTTTCTCTGAGGTCTAGGAAGAAGGTTTACTGGGATGAGGGGTACCTGGGCCTCTGAGTTGGGGTGATATGGGTGTCAAGGATGCTGTGCAGACATGGTGAGAGATGTGGAGGAGACCGCAGCCGTCTCGGACCGTCAACCTTTTCTGTGGCCTTACCTTCTTCTCTCTGTGGTCATTCAAGGACTGAGACAAGGATGGGTTGACCTAAGGAGAGGAACCAAGTCAGATGGAGGGAGCAGCTGGGCAGCACTTGGAGTTCATCCATTCATTCAGCAGATACTTACTGAACATCTACTAAATGCCAGGCACTGTTCCATGTGCTGGGGATACTACAGCGAGCAAAACAAAAAATGTCTGCATCTCATTGAAAACATCTGCATCCCACTGAGGTCGACATTCTAGTGGAGGAAGAAAAGCCATCTAAAATTAATGAATATATACTAAACATATATTACTAATAGCAAATATTTTCTGTGGGCTAGGTATTGATCTTAGTATTATATGGGTATCTGCTCATGACAACAGTATTAGAGTAATAGTTCCATTAGTGTCCTCATTTTATGGATGAGGAAACTGAGGCATGGAGGACTTGAGTAGCTTGTCAAAGTCATGTGGCTCTAAGTGATAGAGCCAGGATTTGAACCCAAGCAGCCCGGCTCCGGGATCTGCTCTTCACTACCATACTGCTCTGCCTTTCTGGTATGACAGGTAGGGACAAGCGCTGGGAGAAACAAAGCAGGGGAGGGAATAAGGGAGGAAAAGAAAATTGCTGTTAGTCACTGTGAAGCGAAGACTTCTCCTGTGGCCACTATTTTAAGATGTTTGATTTTAGGTCAGAAGCACCTAGAGGCCGGGTGTGGTGACTCATGCCTAGATCCCCAGCACTGTGGGAGGCCGAGGCAGGAGGATTGCTTGAACCCAAGAATTCGAGAGCAGCCTGGGCAACATAGTGAGGCCTCTTCTCTACAATAAAATTTTAAAAATAGCTGGGCCGGGCTCGGTGGCTCAGCCTGTAATCCCAGCACTTTGGGAGGCCAAGGTGAGTGGATTGCCTGAGCCCGCGGGTTTGAGACCAGCCTGGGCAACATGGCAAGATCTCATCTCTACAATAAATAAAAAATTAGCCGGGTGTGGTAGCACACCCCTGTAGTTCTGGCTACTTGGAAAGCTGAGACAGAAGGATTACTGGAGCCCGGGGGGGTCAATGCTGGGGTGGCCGTGAGTGTGCCACTGCACTCCAGCCTGGGCAATAGAGTGAGACTCCAGCTCAAGAAAAAAATTAACTAGGCACTGTAGCATGCACCTGTGATCCCAGCTACTGGGGAGGCTGAGGTGGAGGACCACCCGAGCCCAGGAGGTCGAGGGTGCCTTGAGCTGTGATCGTGCCACTGCACTTCTGCCTGGGTGACAAAGTGTGACTCTGACTAAAAAAAAAAAAAAAAAAGCACAAAGAAAAAGAAACACATAGAATGCAGGTATTGTCTGAATCTCCTAATCAACCCCAAAGGATATGCTTTTCCAGTACAAGCCTGTTTGGAGAGTTTTTCGTCTCCCTAATGGACTGTAGCTCCCTTGGGACAGGAACTGCCATGATCATTGCTGCAGTCCCAGCCCTCAGCACAGATCTGACAAAAAGAACCCTTTCTAGGACTGTGCTGAGATTCTTAAATTTTGGAGTTGGTTGATCATATTCAAATGTTGGGCATCTTCTAGTTTAAGTGTACTGGAATGTTCTCTATAAAAGAAGAAAACAAAAAAAACCTTAAAAGCAACCATTAGAGGGACAGGCCTTGGTGCACCAGCATGAAGCTACCAGTGAGTACCAGAAGCTGCTGATCAGAACCGCATGCTCAGTCCAGAATGGTTAAGTGATGGCAAGGGTCCTTCTGACTGTGCTGTGAGGGCATCTGCTGTGACTTCATCACTCAGTGGTACAGCAGGTCCTGACCCAGGTTGACCGATGGCTGTCGTGGTTGATCAGGCAGGAGATATAATGGTCAGGAGCTTGGGCTCAACTTGGGTTTGCCTGTTTGAGGTTTGGCTCTACCACTTAAAGGCTGAGCAATTTGGGCAAGTTATTTAACTTCTCAGAGCCTGAGTTTCTTTAGCAATAAAACAGAGGAAACCACCTCAAAGGCTGTTAGCGGGGTAACAGATCATAAGTGATTTAGATCCTAACATAGAATGTTTCACAAACATTTTTTTTTTTTTTTTGAGTTGGAGTCTCACTCTGTGGCCCAGACTGGAGTGCAGTGGCCCGCTCCCAGCTACCGCAGCCTCGACCTGCTGGGCTCCGGTGATCCTTCCACCTCAGCCTTCCAAGTAGCTGGAACTAC